AGGCCTGTGGTTCTCCAGGAACAATATGGGAAGTAAGCTTGATGCAATGTGCATTTTCAGAAACCTGTATCTCCATCAGAGGTTTTGTTTGTTTGTTTTTGTTTTTTTAAACCTTCACCAAGTATCTTTAATTTCATTTCATTACCTGTTATATTTTCTTCTGAATTCCCCTGCTGTCTTAGCTAGACTTGCTTAACAAGGGATATGCAGCAGATGGCTAAAACAACAGTTACCACCTCACACGTCTGGAAACCACAAGTCATAGTCAAAGTGTGGCAGTGACAATCTCTGGCTTGTAAATGTGTCATTCCTTGGCTGGGGGTAGAGCTCAGTTGGTAGAATTCCTGCCTAGCACACTTTAATCCCAAGAGTTGGGAAGTGAAAGCAGAAATATTGGAAGTTCAAGGTCATCCTCAGCCATGTGTCAAGATTGAAGCTAATTTGGGCTACATAAAACCCTGCTTCCAGGTAGATAAATCACCTGAGGCTCTGTCTTCGAGAGCTTGCTTCCTTTGTGTTTGTATTCAAATTTTCCTCCGTGTAGAAAGTAACAGCCATTAGTTTAGAACCTACCTAATCTAGGGTGAGCCCATTCTAATGTGATCACTTCTACAAAGCACACCAACAGATGTGTGTAGGATTCCATCTGTCTGTGTATCTTTTGAATATAAGCTGTCCAGTCAGGTTCTTTTAAGCATGTTTCTTTTTAATCTCCAATTAATCATTTCCTTTCACCAAAATGTTTCAAGGAAATACTTTATATTAGTTTGTATAATGTTTCATTTCTGTAACTGAGAAAAAGAAGTCCTGTGTAGGAAGAAAATACTGTTCATTGACTAGGAAAGCCACTAGAAGAGTTCAGAAAAGCAAGAGTTAAAAGGGCAGTCACCAGAGTGCAGGGTCTGTTTACCAAGGTTTATGACTTGGGTGTGACTTGGTCATTCAGGCTTCAGAGCCTTGGAGAGATGTCAGTTGAGCCTGCTGGACTGGGCCAGGCAGAGCTCTGCATAGCCATGTAGGGCCCTGAACATAGCTTTTAAAAGACCGAGCAACTCTGGAAAACATGGATGTGGTCAACTGCCTGTTCCTCCAGTGTGTGTGTGGACAGCCCCTGTCCATGGCTAAATCTCAGGTAGGTTCTCAGCCTAGAGAGAAGGACGCTTGCTGGAGTGTGTATTTACAGTTCTAGGAATTGAGCCCATTAGTCTACACTCTTCTAAGTGGACCCAGACAGTATTCCAGAAGCACCAAAGTTATGCTTAATAAAAAGATTTCATTTAGAATCAGTGCAGCTGTGAGCAGAGTCCTTGTCTGGTATGCCTGGCATTTGTAAGGGTTTCAGGTTGGTCCATATGTAGACAGATCCACGTTGGCTTTGGAAGAGATCTGTCTCCTTTTGACTGAGGAATGGCATTTGAATGTGAGCCCACAGGGGGCTTCTCTGCTGCTTCTCCTGAAATGGATGTTTCAATTTGATACGATACTTTGTAACTAGATTTTGGGATCCCTAGGACATTTTGGTGCCTTTTAGAGGGGTGTCTTCTCTTGAATCTTCAGTGGAACTGTGTAACACTGAAGTCCTTGAAGTTGGATTTCTTTTGTGCTGTCTGTATTCAGAACAGAATTGTCGCTGGCACAAAAAAGTGGCAGGAATACCTGCTAGGCTGCTTCAGCTGTGCCTACCTTGCCCAGCCCCAGTCACTTCCTGGTATATTTTTGGCATCGGTGAGAAATCAAGTTGCATGTTGCATAAGCAGGAAAACAAGCTTCTAGCCAGTAAAAACAAAATCCTAAAACTATAAAATGAATAACTATACATGCCTTTGTGAGATGTTAGGCTACTCCATGCCTCTTATTTTTTCTGTGCACCTGTTTTTCTAGAAAGTTGTCTGACCCTTCTTAAATGACATCATATAAATTTATCCTTACTGTGTATTTAAGTTGTCTATGTCATTTGAGTTAGTGATTTGTTTGAGTCCCCATAATAACCCAATTTTCATATGGAATTCAGGAAATGGTGTTAACTTTATGATTTCTCTCCTTTTCCCATGGTGATGTTAGGGAGGATAAAAACATAGATATCTTCTCCTGGGTATGTGTATAAATGAGTTCACAGAAAAATACTTCTGGGTGGTGAGGGTTTGAGGATTCTGTACCATTTCAATAGGAAAAGAAGGAAGGGAAGGAAGTTGAGTGGGAATGGGTGTCTTTTAGGAGAAATAGGTCTGTAGAAAAGTAAATGAGGAAAACAAAGGTTGTGGTTCTCCCGCTCTACAGCAGTGTAAGAAAACAGGGTAGTGGAGGGGCCTACCTATTGAGTTCTTTGGGGAGACTGTTATAGGCAGGTAACTTTATAGGCAGGTGTGGGAGGAGTAACTTTTCTCAAATGTCTTGGGCTCAAAAAACTTACAGAGTTTAATCTTGCCCTTCACGAATGTCTTGAAGTTACAGGACGAAGCATAGACCTAGATTGTGAATAGAAATTCAGAGGACTCCTGAGTGGCTATGTGGCCCTGGGCAAAACACTACATTCCTCTTTCTCTTCCAATGTTTCTGGTCTGAAGAATGAAGAGGTTGATGCAGAGTGTCTCTACGTTCCAGCTTCTGCTTTAGCACAGGTTTTATGGTTGATGAGCTGTACTTATTTATGGAGTCTAGTATTTTAATTTGATACATGTATACAGTATCTTTTTTGTTTTTAATTGGGAGTCTCACTATGTTATCCAGGCTGGCCTTGAACTCTGCTATATTCTTAGAGAACACTTAAACATATCAGACTGAAAATTAAGCAAGTCTTCGTTTTAATGCTATTGTCACTGGCATGAGGTTTCTCTTCTGGAGCCTCTACCATTTAACTTTCTTCTAGCCCAGACTGTCTCTTGGACAGGGCAGGGCCAGGCACATTTCTTTGTCTTCCCTTGGCCACCTGCCTTTGATGTGCCCACTGCCTGCTCTGCTGCCCTCCCTGCCTTCCTGTGTAGGCGTCTCTGCCTACTCTGCATATCCCAGGATCCTTCCATAACCTGTTTTTTCATAGTCTTTTTTGTTTGTTTGTTTGTTTGTTTGTTTGTTTTTTTGCAAATAGGGACAAGCCAGATGGGTAGCACTGCCCAGTAATCTCAGCACTTTGGGACTCTGGGTCAGGAAGACAGACAGACAGACAGACAGACAGACAGACAGACAGACAGACACACACACACACACACACACACACACACAGTGGGTGGGGTGTCCTTGAATTTTTTTCTCTTATGGGGCCTGCCACCCAGCTCCCAAATAAATAGATTGAGACTTATTCTTACTTATGAATGCCTGGCCTTAGCTTGACTTGTTTCTAACCAGCTTTTCTAACTTGTTTTTCTTCCCTTCTTACTCAATGGCTGCTGGCCCCTGGAGTCCTCTTCTCCTCCTTTTTTTTTTTGCTCCTTCCACCCTTCTCCTCCTTCTTTTTTGTAGCCCAGATTTCTCCTCCTATTTATTCTCTCTGCCTGGAAGTCCTACCTATCCCTCTCTCCTTCCTAACTATTGTTCATTCAGCTTTTTATTAGACCAATCAAATGTTTTAGACAGGCAAAGTAACACAGCTTTGCATCATTAAACAAATATTCCACAGCATAAGTGAATGTAGTATTCTACAACAGACAGACAGAGAGAGACAGGGGGGGGGGGGCTTAGTACTTGAAGACATCCAGGCTTGGCTCATATCAGTTGCTGTGTCTACTGCTCACAGCTCCTGCCAGTCTGTGGACCAGCCCCACTGCTTCCTGCATCTAGACTTTGGAGATCTGCCAACTAGCCTGGTACCTATTTCCAGGCAGGGCAAGCCTTGGTGATGGCTACTCTGAACTGACTGTACCTGATAAGGCCTATACTGCCAGGATTACATTTTAGTCGCTTGCCTGAGGTTACTTGGCCAGCCCCTGGCCCTGACAGGGGTGGATATGAAAGTCTGCCAGATTCTAAACCATGCATATTTTCCTGATTGCTTTTGAAAAAGTATATAAAGCTGGATGAGCCTGGTGGTGTGTAACTGCTTACTCAGAAATGGTAGTTAATAGGCTAGCCTGGGATAACTGGCAAAACCCTGCCCTTCTCCCTCCATTCCCCCCCCCCCAGATAGAAAACTTATTTGAAGAATTAGAAGTGGTGGATGGCTAACTTAGCACTTGGAAGAGTGTCTACTCAGCACATTCAAGGCCCTAGGTATGATCCCAGGACTGCTAGCAAAAAAGTGTTGCCTCTTTTAGAGTCACAGAATCTTCTTTTTGTTGTTTTGAAACAGTCTTTAGGTAGCCCAGGCTGAATCTCCACTGTCCACTTTCCTCTGTCTCCCAAGCACTGAGATTACTGCATGGGCCTCCATGCTCAGCTGAGGATCATAGAGAATGGGATCATGAGAGTTATCCTGTCTGAGAGTCAAGGTTAGCCTTGACCTGTCCAGGCCCACACAGCTTGTTTGCAGTCTGGCAGGGCTAGGAACACTGCCTAGTTCAGTCCACTCCCATCAGACTGTGGCTCTGGGATGGGATCCTCAAGTGTTGAGCCCTCAGGGTCCTGGATGTAATCTCATACATAGCACCTTCTATTTGTCAGTAGCACCCACACTGAAAGAAGAGACTTCAAGGCAGCTGTGGATCTTGTTACACACTTACTTATTACACAATCAACGTCTAGCCGCTGTGGCTAACCTACTGTTAGGTGTATTTGGAAAATATCCACCTTGGTTGTATGTTCATTTTACTATTGTAGACCTGCTGGCATCCTTCATGTCTCTCTGTAGCTCATCGCTGGTCCCCAAATATCTATTAAGCTATAGTGTTAATTGAGCCTGAAATGAAGTCTGGCTCATTGAATCCACAGATGGTTGTGTTCTCACTGTCAGTGGCACAGTTACTTGAGGTAAAGAGAGTCTGTGGCTCTACAGAGTGGGCGGGAGGCAGCAGGCATCTGCTCACACCTGCCTGGATCTCTGCGCTTACTCAGCCTGTTCGTTTGCAAAGGTGGTGAATGAGGATGACTGGCAGCAGGGCTCAGCCCAGGAGGAGGAGCAGACCCAGGTGCCCCGCATCTCCAGGAGGAGCTGGGGCTCAGGAAGGCTCACCCGGCCACGGCCACTGTCTGACTATGGCCAGCTGGTCAGCAGAAGCTTGTCCATTCCTGAAGACGCCATTGCTGTAGATCCTCCAGATGACGACCATGTAGACAAGATGCACCCATCAAGAGTGACCACCACCAGCCAGGATCCACGCGCCCCCTCAGGCTGTTCCAGAGGGGGCCGGAGAAGACGACCTATATCTGTGATTGGAGGGGTCAGCTTCTATGGCAACACCCAGGCAGAGGATGTGGAGAACCTCTTGGTCCAAGTAAGAGCTGGTGTCTCAACCATGGCCAGCAGAGACCCTTGGCTCCTTGCCTCTGTCCTTCCTGCAGACTAAACTGGATACTGCTTTTCCTTCTGGGGGAGGGTGTACCTCTTCACCCCCTTTTCCTCCTGACTTCGAAATCTGCTTGGATTCACACTAACAGTCCATTCTCTCATCGTCCGCTTTCCAGTCTTCTTTCCTGGAGCCTCAGCTAACAGCACAGACTGTCACTTGTCTGCAAAGCCTGAGACCTGAGCTGGGGAGCGGGGCAGGGGGAACCGTACCCTGGATTTATCCAGTGCCCTTCCTGAGGGAGTGATTGTTGAAGGACAAAGTGGTTCCTTGTTAGAATGCAAACATAGGAACAAAATAAAGATGATATAGAAGGGGTGGCAATGGATTTAGCTCAGTAATGGAGATTTGATTTCTGCCAGAGCCCTGTGTTCCTTCAACCAACCCCCCTCCCCAAAACAAAGCAGAAGACAGTACTTGGAGAAAAATTTCTTTATCTTCTAAAATACTACATCTCTCTTCCTCTCCATTCCCAGTGATTCATCACACCTTCACCCACCACTCCTGGAGTGGACCCAGGCTTAGAACATGCTAGGCAAGCTCCCTACCATGGAATAACACCACTGGTCCTTATTCTACTTTTGAATTGCAGTTTTGCTGTAGGTTTAACCCTTAACACCACTGGTCCTCAGCACATTTGGCAAATACTTCTTAAGAGTATTGTGAGCACTTTAAGGTTATAGAACATTCAAGTAAAGGCCCTCTCTTGGAGAAACTCATACTTCTTTGAGTATTTGACCCAACTAATACCACAATAATGCTCATATAGTCACAGAATAGTTTATATAATGATTTATATGCTCAGTTTCATTTTGAAAACCTGCTTGGTACTTTCTTAAATTTCCTGTAAAAATTCTCTGAGAAAGAAATTCGATAGTAGGCTTGGATTGTGCATTAAAGCGCTTCTTGCCAAGCACAGCACAATGTCTCGCTTGAACCAAACACTCAGAAATTCTTGTTTAATCCAGTTGAGTGGAATTCTTCAAATAAAAGTAAAAGCCCAGCATGGTGGCACACACCTGTGGTCCCTCAAGGTCATTCATTCATCTATGTAGAGTTTCAGGCCAGAGTGGACTACCAGACCTTGCCTCAAAAAGAAATGTAAAAAACACAAGCAAAGTGAAGATGAAGAACACCACAAGGTCTCTAAGTTCCTTTTCTTTTAGGGTACCCTGGTTGTTAGGATATATTTCTAAGCTAAAGCAAATTGTAATGTATTTGAATGCAAGACTCAGTTGAGGGATAATCTGAGGTACTTAGAACGGATTTCTATTTCTGAACACCAAGATAGTGTTGTGCGCAAACATGGTGGTTCATGCCTACAATTCTAGAACTTAAGAGTCTGAGGCAGAGGAATTGTGGGATTGAGGCCAGCCTGGTCTACAGAGCAAGACACTGATGTACGAACTAAAGCACAGAGGAGAGAGAGCTCAGTGGTTAATGGTTCCCATTTTCCTTCTAGAACAGGGCAGCTCACATCTGACTGTAACTCCAGCACCAGGGGATCAGACACCTTCAGGCCCCTGCAGGCATCCATTGATAGGTGTCATGCACACACAGACTTGTACTATGTAAAATAAAATCTTTTATAAAATGATTTATTTATTTTTACTTTGGGTGCACTGGTATTTTGCCTGCATATATGTCTGTGTGAGGGTATCAGAGTCCCTGAAACTAAAATTACAGTTGTGAGCTGCCATGAATTGAAGTTGGGTCCTCTGAAAGAGCACCCAGTGCTCTTAGCCTGTGACATCTCTCTAGCCCCCAAACAAAGTCTTCTTTAAAAAAAAAAAAAAAAAAAGCAAAGCAACACTGGAGATCTATGACCATGTCTGTGTGCGATGGCCTGGCCCTTGCTTCCTCAGCTCCTACTCTGGGCAGCATACCTTCCCAACTCTAGCTCACAGCTCTGCTGCTTTCTCGGTCTTCGGTCTTCCTCTCGCGCAGATGCCTCTCTTTCTATCTCTGTTCCTTACTGGTGTGTCGCTCAAAGGGGGATGAAATGTGACTGAGCCAGCATTGAGGCTGCTGTTGAAACTTTCGAACAGCCTGTTGCCACTGTGCTTGGTGCAGCCTGCAGCTGCTTGCTGACTGGGTTTGAAGAAGCCACTCCACATCTGCCAGTGGCTTCAGGGTGAGAACACAGAGATGTTTTGTGGCTCACAGGAGCTGAGACTTCCTGGCACCTTCTCACAGCTCTGCACTTCCTTTCACAGCCAGCAGCCAGGCCTCCGGTGCCTGCACACCAGGTTCCACCCTACAAGGCAGTGTCTGCCCGCCTAAGGCCCTTCACCTTTTCCCAGAGCACTCCCATCGGACTGGACCGCGTGGGGCGCCGACGGCAGATGAAAGCATCCAATGGTGAGTCTTGGGGCTTCCGCTGTGCCCTGGAACCTTTTGTCCGGTGCTAGGGAGTCCGAAGCACCAAGGTGATTTCTCCATCTTACAGGGCAGTGCTTCAGTGGTTATCTGGGTTCCCCTGAGTTTTAGGCTCCTGCTCCTATTATGTCACCACACCTAAGTTGCTGCAGAGCCATCCCAGTGTAGAGACCCGACGTTCTAGTGTTGAGGGTGTTTTTTGGTTGGTTGGTTGGTTTGAGGCTGTAGGAACACTATTCCAGTCTTCTCCTAGCTTCTGCCAGCTTCAGGGCTCCTTGGCTGGCCTGTGCAGTCCCTCTCCACTTGCCCACTCTGTGACATTCTCTCTGCTGCAAATGTAAGTGCCCATATTTCCTTTGACCTCGTCTTAACTTGCCACCCACAAAGACTGTTTCCATTTAGGTCACCATTAGGGATCTGGGGTGAGGATGTCATTGTCATTTTGGGGGTTCAGTTAAACCAAAAGTGCTTCTTCAATGGTTATGCCAATGTCTATCATGCTTGCATGTGCTCGGATACCAACAAAGACGAGAAAAGCTTGGAAGATATTGCCAGGCTGTTAGGAATGGAGAGGGTTTCTCCTCAGCCCCTATGTGGTACAGCCAAGCACCCCCCATTTCATGATTTATGTGATTTTTTCATATAAAAAAGAAAAACAGAAACAAAAACCTTAGGGTTCTTTGGTTTAAAAAACATCAAAAACTAACTTAGTTAAGAAAAGGGGGGTGTGAGCTAAACATGTTATCCATTTGGTGGAGTACCTGCCCAGCATTCACAGAGCCCTGAGTACTACATACATAAAACAGTGAGTAGTGGCACATGTCTGTCATCTCTGTACTTGGAAGATGGAAGAAGGAAAATCACAAGTTCAAGGTCCTCCTCAGCTACATAGTGAGTTTGAGGCTAACTTGGTCTACCTGAGACCCTAACTTAAAAGGAGGTGGGGAAGAAAGAGGAATGGATTAGGAGGATGTTGGCTACTCCCAGAATGGCTGGGGAACTAGGTAGGGCATACATGGTGTCAGGATTGTTCCCAGTAGTTATGGAACCCCAAGTGTCACTGGGCATGGTGCCACCAGGGGAAGGGGGAAGGCCAGCCTGCCCTGTCCTCCTGGTATATTTTCAGCTCAGTGGCCTGTTCACCGTGTGGATGGTGGGACAGGGAGTCCAATCCCCGTCACCCCTGCATTTGTTCAGGTATTTGGTTCCTTGCCATCAATGTGAATACGAAGAGTAGGCCCTATTCCCAGAACAGTGCCCAGGTGGTGTCAGGAACAGATTGGTCCTGACAAAGTCCTCCCTTAGCGTGGGTCCGTTCATACTCCCTTTCTCCCTCTGCAGTGAGCATTTACTGTGTGTGAGAGGAGGGAGAGCAATGAGCAGGAAGAGCCACTCCATCCCTTACAGCCCTGTGAGAGAAAATGAATCAGCAGGGAAGTGTTTAACAGGCAGGACAGGGACACTCTGCAGGAGAAGTCAGTGAGGTGGGGGATACAGGTGTCCAAACCACCTCACCCCACAGTGCTGTTCTTACCCCAGATAACTATGGAAATGCCCCTGGAGATAGCCCACAGGCTGGTCACTGCATCAGACATCGCTGGGCCTAAGGCCTCTATTGTAGTTATATATTATATATGATCTATTAAACTTGCCTGAGAATTCAGAAAGCAAAGTCAGCCTCTGTCCATAGAGATCACGCAGTGGTGACACACACACATCTCAGCAGCCAGCAACTAGGAGGTGGTGGTACACACCTTTAATCCTAGGACTCAGGATTAAGAGGTAGACTGATCTCTGTGAGTCCAAGACCACCCTGATCTACACAAGATTGATCCAGTCCTAAAGAGAAACAGTTCACACAAAGATGAGCTCAGCACCAGGGATCACATGCCTTTAATCCCAGCACTAGAGGGGTATAAAAGATAGGAGCAGGGTCTTCAGTAGTCAGTCTCAGGCATTCGTTCTCCAGCCACATTAAAGATAGGAAGACATTCAGTCTCAGGATTCTCCAGCCACGCTGAGGAAAGGCAGTGGTAGTGAGGTAGTGGTAAGAGCTAGTGACCCGCTTCTTTGCTTTTCTGATCTTCAGTTCGAAGTTTGAACCCCAATATCTATCTCTGGGTCTTTTATTTTTCATGCAACACTCCACCCTGTACAATAACTCCTGCTTCCTCTCCTTCTGCTAGGGTGCCTTTCTAGTGTTTCGAACCCAAGCAACACAGTATCATAGTAGAAAGTGGGGAAGGAAAGGATTTGTGAACCGGTGCATATACATTCATGATGTCACAAAAGGAAGGTCTTTTCTGTCTCCTCTAGAGCCAGGCCATAGGTGGTAGGTTTTGACTCCATACCCCCTCTTCCAGTGTCCTGCTGCCTGCCTCTCCCAGTATCTCTCACCTTGTAGGGATCTGTGTTGGACAACGTGGTCCTACTTTATTAGCCATCATCTTCTTTCTTCTCTTTTTATCAAAAGTCAGTTAACTTACAAAAGTGTGTGGAGCTTCATGTGGGAGCCAGGGGCTGTTGTAATAATTTAGTATACAGCATCTCAAAGACTATGTGAATGACTTCTGTATCCTTGGGTTTCATGTCCTCTGAGCAACCTGAGCATTGAGGAAGAGGTAGTGAGATCTCCTAGCAGCAACAGATGTTCCACTGAGGTTCAACAGGAGGCCAGTGACTGAACTCAGGAAACATGAACAGAAGAGGGCACTGTAGTTAGACAGGGTGGCTAAACAGAAGGACTTGGGGTTCTAACTATAATAGGGAGTCATCGCCGACAGGAAAATGGTGCGTTCTGGTTTGTGCTTCAATTAAAAACAACAGAGCTAGGCCTGGTGTCACAACCCTTTAATCCCAGCACTCAGGAGGCAGAGGCAGGTGGATCTCTTGAGTTTGAGGCCAGTCTGGTCTACAGAATGAGTTTCAGGATAGGCAGGACTGAAAAGAGAAACCCTGTCTTGAAAAACAAAGCAACAAGGGGCTGGAGAGATGGCTCAGTGGTTAAGAGCATTGGCTGCTCTTCTAGAGAACCTGAATTCAATTCCCAGCAACCACATGGTGGCTCACAACCATCTGTAATGAGATCTGGTGCCCTCTTCTGGCATGCAGGCAAACAGAATACTGTATACATAATTAATAAATAAATCTTAAAAAAAATAACAGTAAAACCTTTTTTATGTGTGTGTTGCATGTGTTGAGTGTGGTGTGTATGTGTGTGTGTGTGTGTGTGTGTGTATGAGTATGTGTTGAGAGTCTGTGGGCACAAGCATGCCATAGGGTGTAGGTGAGAGGGCAACTTGCAGGAGTCTGATCTTCCTTTTCACCTGTGGGTACTGGAGGTCAAACTCAAGTCATCAGGCTTGGTGGTAAGCAACTTTACCCTCTGAGCCATCTTACTGGCTCCTGGTTTGTGCTTCAGAAGGAAGAGTGGCCAGGCCTGTGTGGTCGTGTATGTCTGTAATCCCAGGAAGTTAGCCAAGTTACCCTCGGCTTCACAGTGAGTTCTGGCCAGCCTGAGCTATACAGCAAAATCCTATGTCAATCAGTCAAAATTAAAGATTAAAAACCAGAGGAAGTGAAGGAGAAAAGCAAGTACGGGAGTTTGGGGTAAGGCGAATGTAGAGAAGAAAGATGGATGTGAAGGCTGCTTTTTGAGTCCCACTGAGTATCCACAGTGGCAGTGGCCAAAAAGCCGAGAAAAATTCCCATGGGTATTTATTTCCCTGAAGGCTGAAATGATGAGCCCAGGCTCTGACTCAGTGGGCTAGAGCTGGGATGTCCCATGGAAGGACTTTTCCCCTTTGAGATGAAATTCAGTTTGACAGAGCAGTGCTGAATGGGAGGAGAACATTTTGCAAGTGTGCTGTGAAGTAAGAGAGTAGCTGCTTCTATGTTTACCCCAGGTTTCCTGTTGTGGCTTGGCATCCCCCAGTAACATGAGTCACAGGTTCACAGCATGTGCCCCTGCAGGGTGTCATGGCAGCACCAGGATGTGTCTCCAAGCTTCCTAGACAATTGAGTTGCATTGAGGTGGTATTGGATGTGAGCCAGTCTCTGGGAACTTCGAAGTGGTGTCTGGCAGATGCCATGGCTGTTTAGCAACCTTTAGTGAGGCCAGTGAAGAGATGTGGGTAATCTGTATCCAGCACAAGTGGCTTTTTCAGTGAGGACAAATCATTGCCCCTCTGTTATAAAAAAAAAAATGCCCATTGTAATCAACTTCCCACAAGTAGCTATCTGGTGCCTACAGAGAACCATATCATTAACCCTGGTGAGAACAGGCCCTGCAGTCTAGCTCAGGCTGGCACTCTTTTTTGTAGTCTGGTGGGTGTTTTGTTTCTTTGTGAGTCCACTGAGCCTCCCATCAAGATGAGTAGAGAAGATTAGCCTATGTTTGCATCGTGAGCATCATGCCCACATGATTCTTTTTTTTTTTTAAGATTTATTTATTATGTACATAGTGATCAGCCTGCAGGTCAGAAGAGGACACCAGTTCTCATTACAGATGGTTGGCCCACATGATTCTTAAATAGCATCTTTTGTGTTAAACTTTTCAAGCATTTAAGGCCTTCTGGCAGTCACATCCCTGGTCCCACCTCAAGGCACAATGGTATTGTCAAGCCGTTAGCTCCTAAGCATACATGTATGCAAGCTCACTCTGTCTGGAGAATTAAGACATAAATCTTCCACTCAGGGTTACTCTGTCTTGGGTGCATAATGACCAGGTAAAGGATGGAAACTTGTCAATAGAAAAAAGCGACTCAGTTAGTAGAATACCCACCCAAAGATGACCTGCTGTGCAGTGACCCCAGATGCAGAGCCCTGGGTTTCCCTGTCACACTGGCTGACTCACAGATTTCATGCTTCATTAATCACATGACACCTTAATGGAAGTACTCATTAGCTTTGTTCCTAGGGACCCCCAAGATCAGTGAGACACAACCAGAGATGTCATGAGTCAGATCATGCCTTACTGTTTG